GCAATCCTTCAGGCCATGGAGCCACTGCAGAGGTGACTGGGGATTCCATCAGCTCTTCTGGGTCGGGCATGGCAGCGGGGGTGGGATGGGGTGGGGGTGGGGGTGAAGGAAAGTCATCATGCGGCCCTGGGCAAACCCCCAGGGCAGAGCTGGGCTGCTGGAAGGCTTCTGGGAGAGATATCACAGTGTAGGAAGGACTTTAAAAAATATTTTTGGGGACACCTGGCTGGCTCAGTCAGAGGAGCTCGAGACTTTTGATCTTGGGGTCGTGAGTTCAAGCCTCACATTGGGCATAGAGATTACTTAAATAAAAAACTTAACAAAATGCTTTGACTCTTTAGATTCTGACTCAAGTTGTGAATGCGGTTGAGTGTGTGCATGCAGGTTGTAGACATGCACACAGAATTGTGTCTACAGTTACAAGTGAACACTGAGCCTCCTGCCTTTTATCCCACTTCCAAGGGTGACCATTGCATTTGTGATAACCCCAGGAGCAATTTTCAAACAGTTAGAGATACACCAAGAATTGCTGCAGGAGCAAACTGAATGTGTAATGCAGTAAAAATGTGCAAGAAAGATCCAAATGCTTATTTGCCAGAAAAGGTGCCACAAAAGGGGCCATTTTCTCATTTGAGGTGGAGGAAGAATGGGCCCAGAGGGAGGACCTAAGGCAAGCCATCAAGCCTGAGGCCCTTTCCAGCTAAGAGTTGCTTTTACCTGCAGAGGGAAGAGGGAATATTGTGCCAACAAGGGGTGGCTGGGATGTGACCCCAGCTGCCTGCATCACTTCACCCAGGTTAAAACCCATATGCAGGGATATGGGGGTCAGAGGGGTCCTTTTCCCCAGCCTTGACTCCACATCCCTTCTTCAGCCTAGGGGAGATCCTGGTCATCTGTAGAGGAGGTATTGGCCCTTGGGGCATTTATCAGAGGAAGGTGGAGAGCAGGAGCTGGAGTAGGAAGCAAGGGTTGGGCATGTCATGGAGAGTCTCCATGCCCACTTACTTTGGTAGGCAGTGGGGAGCCATGGAAGATTATTAAGCAGGGAGGAAGGGGATTAGAGGTGGAGGGACCAAAGGCTGGGGTGCTGTAAGAGGACCAGGACAGGGCAGGCCCAAGAGGCATCCTTTGGTTGAACTCTGACTTGGGAAGGAAAGAAGGGTGGGATGAAGAGGAGGGAAGGTCCCCTCCACCCTGGAGGAGACCCAGTCACAGTGCAGGCTTGGTGGAGGGCCATGAGTTGGATGCCAGCTGGCTTGAGTCTGAGGTGCCTGTGTGCTTCTGACAGCAAGTCCAGGAAGTGGCTGGAAATACTGGCTTTACTAAGAAGAAGCCAGAGTCAGTGGGGTGGTTTTTGTCAACTTTCCCAAAGTTGGGAAGGAGCCACATCAAGATCTGAACCCGGGTCTGTTTCCCTCTGATGTCTATAGGTTCATGCTGAGGGACCAGTAAAGGTGTGCCTTTGGGTCCTGGATTCTGAGCTTGGCAGAGAGATCAGCTGTTCTTACCCGGGAGGGAGTTGGTGTGTTTTACTGGGAGCTCTGCAGAGGCCGGCAACCTCAAGGGCTCCGCAGGCAGGATCTTCAAGCCCAAATTTCTGCTCTGTGAAGGGGCCATTTCTAAGCAGCCCCACCTTCCCAATCCCCCAACACCAAGCTCCACCTTCCCAATCCCCACCTTCCCAATCCCCCAACATCCCCCTGGAGCTGACATTAATTGTGTACAGCCCAGTGTCCCGTACTTCATAGGCTTCCTCTCACTCAATCCTCACAAAGACCCTTCAGGAAGGCGTTAATATTCTTGTTTCCATTTTATAGATGAAGGAACCAACAGAACCTTCCAGAGGTGAAGGGCCTTGCCCCCACTCCACTGTGGTGACCGGGGGCTGGAGCTCAGGGTGGAGCTGTTGTGTGACGTGGCCCAGCAGCTCTCTGAGCACCATCTGTATAGTGAAGCTTGCTGGAAGGTCCCCACCACACCCTGATTTCAAGTCTGCAGTCCCAGCTCCCAGGACATTCCCGACACCCCCACCGCCCCCATTCTGTTCTTCGTGGCCCAGCTCCCTTGGGAACAGACAGACCCACCCCCTCCCCCTCCCGGGCTGTGCTCTTGGCAGCTCTGCCGCCCTGGGCTCTGGTCCGGGGGTGGTCCCCGTTGGTGAGAGGGGCGGGTGGGCAGATGCTGGGATCAGTTGGACTAAGACTGGGGTATCCGGAGCCCCTCCAGGCCCCCACCTCTGGGTCCATGGTGCTCCAGGCAGGGGTGGGCAGGGCCCTTTGGAAAGGGGTGGCTTGAGGTTTAATCACTTTATCAATGTTTGTTTGTGTAATTCAGCCCTGAGATGCTTTTCCTTCCATCTGTCCCCACCATCTGCTCCCATCAGGATTTTCCAAACCATTTGGGACCTGAGAGAAGAGGGTGGGGGCTGTGTCTCTGAGGGGGCTGGGGAGGGGCTGCCTCCACCTACCTCACTTGAAGCTCTCCAGGGGAAAGCCTGGGTTCCTGAGTCACAGGGAACTGGGTTCACAATTCTGACATTGTTACTTGTATTACCTCTAGCAGGTGACTTTACTTCTCTGAGCCTCAGTCTCCACATCTGTGAAATGGCAGTAACACTATTGACCCCTCAGGATTAGTTCAGATCAAAGGAGGTGATACATGCAAAGTACTCTGCATACAGCAGGTGCTCAAGAGATACACAATCCCCTCTCCACTCATTCCCCACTGGCTTCTCCCTCTGGCATCCCTCTTTAATGCTAGAGGAAGGTAGCCACCTCTTTCTATACCCCAGCCCTATTCCTCAGATCCTGGGGACATCCCTCCCCTGGGACTTGCTCTTTCTTCCATCCCCCTTGGGTCCTGCCCATTGCTCAGTTCTCTCAATGACCCCACTCAACAGCTACGCTAAGCTGTGCCTCTCCTTCCCTCCTAGATGCCTCAGTGTGGGGTGGAAGGGGGATGAGCGTCATCAGTAAGGTCACCTGCCACCCTCACCCTGACCACAGGCCTTCATAGAGCCTTCCAAATCTACAGGGTTCCAGGGCCACTGGGGCCTCATCTCTCTACTATGCTCAGGTAGGCCTCTTGACAGCTGCCCCTCTGGGCCCTTTTCTGGGCTATATCTCAGGGCGCTAGGTTTTGAGCCAAGGGCCTTGGGGTGCAGTGTGAGGGAGCCCCAAGCCTTCTGTTTTGGCTCAGAGGGGTGCTCCCAGTTCTTCCTAGGACCCCCAAGAGGGGAAAGGTGGCTGATGGGTCCAAACTCAGCCCCCAGATCTACCCTACTGACTCAGGGAAAGTCAAAGGGAGGTGAGGCCTCAAGGTAGAGAAGACATGGTCCTGTCTTCAGAAGCCCCATCTCCTGGGAAGACAGGGTTCAGACTAGGGGTCCTGAGGTTAGGGCATCAGAGTTTCTCTCACAGAGTTTCTCTCACGGTGGAGATAGAAGGTTCCTGAGGGGTTAAGCCAAGAAGTCAGCCTGGGGGAGGTGAAGCTGGGTAAGGAAGTGAGAGGACAGAGAGAGTGGCTGAGCAGCACCCAGTGAGGGTAAACTGAGACCTCACGAGGAGGGAGAAGAAGATCCAGACCAGCCTGGGAAGGTTCTCTGGCTTCAGGCCGAGAGAGAAGAAGGAGGAAGAGTGGGAGAAGCTCAGGCAGTGAATGCAGGGCTGTCCCCTCATCCAGTCCCAAACAGAGCAGACTCTCCAGGCCTAGTGGGAAGGAAGTAGGGAGCTTGTTGCTCCAGGGCCCTGGGGTGGGAGCTGAGTGGCAGCTGGCTCCCTGCCCCCCAGGGCCTCACACAGGAGACAGCTGGGAATCACCCACGCATGTCTGGCATTTCTCACGCCTCCACTGGGGGTCCCAACACCAGAGCCAAGACACACAGATGAACTGATGTTCTAGAGGGCCCAATTGGCCCCCATCCCTCCGCCTGGCTCCCCAGCTCCTACAGCTGAGACCTCCCCATGCTCACGCAGGAAGTACTAAGGCTAGACTTCTAACACCTAAACTGCTTGGTCTAGGACCTGGAGGTGGAGCTTTGGTCTGAGCCCTGGAGAGCCGGGGGTCTCCCAGCTGCTGCCACTGAACTGGCAGGAGCTATTTGGTCAGAACGCAAATGCTGTGGGCTCACCTTCAAAATAACCAGACCCATCTCTCTCACCCTGAAATGGTCCCCTGCTTCTACCCTGGCCCCCACTCCTCAAAGTCTGTTCTTGACAGAATGCCTGAGTTAAGCTTGACCTGAAAGTCAGACCCTCACTCTGCTCAAAGCCCCAAGAGCTTTCCATCTCACCTGGAATAAAATCTAAAGTCTCTGGAATGGTCCTAAGCAGCACCACCACCCCAACCTCTGAACACCAACTTTTCCCCAAACACTTATCTAATACATCATAGGATTGACTTGTCTATTCTGTCCATTGTTTACTGCCTGCTTCTGTAACCCCACTGCCTAGAACAATGCTGGGCACAGAAATAGTGCCTGATGAACATTTGTGCCATGAATGGATGAGGGCATATGGAGTCAAGCCCAAGCCTTCCACTCACCAGCTGTGAGACATGGGGAAAAAATCATTTAACCCCTCTGAGGGGTTGCTCATTTGTGAAGAGGGGACAGTAAGGACCACCTCCTAAAAATAAAGGAAAAACTCAAGCCAAACTCATGTGGGGATTGTTGCAGAAGCTGGGGGAAGGAGGATGCAGCCTCCATCCTGGCAGGAGGAGCTGTGATGGGGGTCAGAGACTCGGGAGAAGGGCTGTCCTGTCTACAGGTGAGGTCCCTACGCACTTCAGAACCCCTCCAGACTGAAGATGCTCCCCAGTCCTCACCTAGGACCAGAGGCGGGGGAGGAAGGGTATGGGAGGAGCAATTTAGATCCATGTTGGGAGGTGGGATTCATTCTGAGAGGAGCCCGGGTAGGAGATCCCGGGCGGTGGGCAGGAGATGGGGGCGGGGCTCTCTAAGGCTGTGGTAGGGTAGGGGGCGTGTCTGGCTCCCCCGAAGACCTCCGGGACCGGAGGAGTGGGCGCTGCCCCTCGCGGAAGAGCCCCCTGCTCAATTAGTTCCCGAGTTGAGGCGCGGGGGCAGGGAAGGTGCCTCTCCAACCGCCCAGGCTCCGGATTCCGCCCGCGGAGCGACGTGCAGCTCCGCGCCCAGGTAGGGATGGGGCAGGAAGGCGGGCGGAGCTGCCGGGGTTGTCCCCGGTTCGGAAAGAGGTCTCTGGGCAGTGACCCCCACCCCGACCCCATTCGGGCTACCTGATCGAGATGCTGAGGAGAAGGAAACCTCTGTCCTCCTCCCCCGGCGGGCGCTCCCTCACGAGGGGGCCAGGGAAGTGAGGGCGTCCCTTCCCCTCTCCCGGGCAGGGGCGGGGGCGGAGCCAAGCGCACCGCCCCCCTCCCCCCTCCGGGGCTGCAGGGGAAGGGGAGGAACGGGGACCCCCCCAGGGGAGGGGCTCCGGGCGAACGCCGCGGGGCGTCTCCCTGGCAGTCCCTCCCCCCGCCCCCCGCCCGCCCCTCCGGCCGCCTCTGCCGCCGCGCGCCGCAGCAGCGCCGCCTTCCCTGCGCAGTCGGTGTCTCCGCGTCGCTGGGTGAGTGGGGGCCGCTCCGGCCGCGGCCGGGGGGTGCAGGGAGGGGGCAGCCCAGAGGGAGGGGGCCCCGTCGAACCTCTCCAGCCCCGCCGCTCGCGCGCGTCCCGGGAAGCCTCCTGCCCAGGGCGCGGGGGGGAAGGGGGCTCCCCGGGGGAAGGAGCGCGGCGCTCTCCAGGGTCCTGACCGCCGAGTGGCCAGCGGGGAGGAGTCGCGTTCTGGTCGCCTCGGAGCGCCCCCTCCAGGAGGGGCCCCGCGCCCGGCGCTCTGAAGCGTGGGTTCAGGGCGAGAGCTGGGGAGAGGTTTGGAGAGGATCCCCGGGGTGAGTTGCTCAGGTCGAGCCGTGGGTCCTTCCCATCTGGGGGACGAGGGAGTCTTTGCGGAGACAACAGAATCTCCTACCACCCTCGTTTCCAAGTCTCCCGATTGGGAGGGGCAGCTCTGAGGGTGGCAGGGAGGAGGGGGCACTGGAGGATCTCTCCTGCTCAATGCATCTCTCAGCCCCCGCCCCGATGACCCAGTTCCTTGGACCTTGAGGAGGGGACTAAGGGACACACTCCTCCGCCCCAGCCCAACGCATTTCCTCAGTCCCCCCCTCCCCACACACACACTTGTTCATTGGGTCCTCAGTCTGGGGCAGAAGAGGCTGCTTTAGAAAGGAGGGTCATCAACTTACAAAAACATGCATGTGACACACTGCTGAGGACACACACAAGTCCCCCAAATGGCCATTCAGGCACATCCCCCTCATACTGTGATGGATGCATACCTAGTCACATGCACATGTATGGACTGAAACACACGGGAGTCAAAGGCAATGCAGAAACCAGGGGCATATGTGCATACATGAACGCTAGCACTCACACACATGCTCATCTACATGTGCACAGAGCTTCATGCAGATGCACACACAAGGAACCCCTTCATCCTGTCTCACTCCCAGTGCCAGGCTGCGAGGAGGGAGTCACCTGCATGCTCCCCTACATCCCTGCCTGGAACTGCCTGGCTGTCTCCTCTCCCTTGCCTTCCCTCAGCCATCCACACCCTAACCTCCTACATGAAAAGGTAAGTGTTGGGGGAGGGTTGGCTGGCCGGGGCTCTCCCTGGAAGAGAGGCCCCCAGTAGGTCTGAGAAGGGTTGCGGCTCCCTCTCCTGGGACTTAGAAGCACCCCTGGGAAAAGAAAGATGGCAAGGGTTCCTGAGGGTTCCACGTGCAGCTGGCCATGTGAGAGGTGTCGGCATGGGAGTTGGCTTGTGATGGCATGTGTGAGACATGTGGGGTCGTGGGCTGGTGTCTTGATGCATAGGGTATGGGAGCTGTTCGTGAGTGGTGCCGTGTGTCAGAACATGTGAGTTGTGGAGCAGAGGGAATGCTGTCATGTGTGGAGGCATGGTGACCCATGGGTGGCTGGGCGCTGGTGTGTGAGTGGCATGGGAGCCAGTGTGTGGATTTGGTGAGTTGTGTAGCACAATTTGTGTGTGTATTCATTTGTATATTGTTGTGCATAAGTCTTGTGGCACCTGGGTCCATGTAAATCATTTTTATTTAACACTTACATAGCACATATATGTGCAGGCATCACTGTAAGTGCTTCACATGCATTAACTAATTCAATCCCCATAATAATGAGGTAGGTACTATTACCCTCACTTTACAGATGGGGCAGAGAGAGTATAAGAAACTCGTCTAAGGCCACCTAGCTGGTAAGAGGCACAGCTGAGGTTTAAACCCAGGTGGTCTGGTTCTGTTGCCTAGGTTAACATCTACCTTACTTGGGCCTTTGTCAGGCACACATGTGTGGAAGAGAGAACAGGATAACAGGTCAGTGCCTGGGCTGCAGGTGTATTTTGTAGTGAGCAGACATATGTGAAGCAAAGAAGGAGCAGGAGGGAGGAGGGAGGACCAGAAGGCCTATTGCACCTCCCTGGGCAACTCTGGGAGTCAGCCCTATCACTCCATGGCTATGTGACCTGGACCAGATCTCCTTACTTCCTTGAGTCTGTCTTCCCATCTGTAAAGTGGGGCTAATCTCCAGGCTTCACTTTGTGAGGGTGAAATGGTACACACCTGTGATGGCTCAGTGGCTGGCACTGAGCAGGCCCTCAGTGAATGGGAGCCCCCTTCCCTTCCTCTGTCTCCTGGTCTGTTCCCTGGGAAAGTATAAGCTCTGGGGAGATGGTGTGGAGCTGGTCACAGAGGCAGGATGCTGACTTTGGGCCAGCTCCTCTCTTTCCCTGGGTCAAATGAGAGGTCAGGTGGCTGGTGTCTGGGGCCTCCCTGGAGAGGTGTCAAGGGGCCAAGAGGGTCTGACCATTCCTCTCTGCCCCTTGACCCCCTCGGGATCCAGGTGGGACTTGGCTTGGTGGCCATGGGCAAGCAGAACAGCAAGCTGCGGCCGGAGATGCTGCAGGACCTGCGGGAGAACACGGAGTTCTCGGAGCTGGAGCTTCAGGAGTGGTACAAGGGCTTCCTCAAGGACTGTCCCACGGGCATCCTCAACGTGGACGAGTTCAAGAAGATCTACGCCAACTTCTTCCCCTATGGCGACGCCTCTAAATTTGCTGAGCACGTCTTCCGTACGTTCGACACCAACAGCGATGGCACCATTGACTTCCGGGAGTTCATCATCGCGCTGAGTGTGACCTCACGTGGTCGCCTGGAGCAGAAGCTCATGTGGGCCTTCAGCATGTATGACCTGGATGGCAATGGCTACATCAGCCGCGAGGAGATGCTCGAGATTGTGCAGGTGGGCCCCTGGGCCCCTCAGAATGCCAGGAGCAGGGCCCAGCCGCTGGCACCCGTCATCCCTTTTTATCCTCTCAGCAGCCCTTGTGGGTAGGTAGTGGCAGGTGCTACTCTTGTGACCCATTTGAAAAACCATTAGGAAATAATTTCCAATTTAAGGAAAAGTTGAGAAAACTCCCATATACCCTTTACCCACATTCACCAATTAACTTTGGCCATATTTGCTTTATCATTATATGTGTGCATGTGTGTAATGCTTTGTTGTTGTTCCGAACATGGCCCTCTAACCCTGACTACATCAGGATATATTTCCTAAGAACAGGGACATACTCTTACATAACCCATAATATGATTATCAAACTCAGAACATTTAATGTAGAAACAATGCTATTATCTAACTTACAGACCATATTCCAATTTTGCCAACTGTCTCAGAATGTTCTTTATAGCCCTTTTTACCCAGGTCCAGATCACACGTTGCATTTTGTTGTCATGTCTCTTTAGCTGCCTTTAATCTGTAGCAGCTTCTCAGCCTTTATCTTTCAAAACTTGACATTTCTTCAGGGTACAGGTCAGTTATGTTTCTTTGATCTCCATTTCCTAGTACTAACCAAGATGTTTATATATATCCTTACAATAACTCCATGAGGCTCAGAGAGGTGAAGTGACTCGCTCAAGGTCACACAGCATGTAAGTGGAGTTAAGTTCAAGCTGGCCACTACTCAGAGCTGCCCCTAGAAAGGGGTCTGGCTTCCAGTTCTGGAGTTGGCTTCAACTCCTAGATTTCTCATTTGTAAAATGAGGATGATGAGACTGACCTCACAGGGAGATTTAAGGACCTGATATGAATGCCCATTCTTTTTTTTTTAAAAGATTTTATTTATTTATTAATGAAAGACACAGAAAGAGAGAGAGAGAGGCAGAGACACAGGCAGAGGGAGAAGCAGGCTCCATGCAGGGAGCCCTATGTGGGACTCGAAACCGGGTCCCCAGGGTCTGCCCTGGGCTGAAGGCGGCACTAAACTGCTGAGCCACCTGGGCTGCCTGAATGCCCTTTCTTTTTTTTTTTAATTTTTTATTTATTTATGATAGTCACACACAGAGAGAGAGAGGCAGAGACACAGGCAGAGGGAGAAGCAGGCTCCATGCACCGGGAGCCCGACGTGGGATTTGATCCCGGGTCTCCAGGATCGCGCCCTGGGCCAAAGGCAGGCGCCAAACCGCTGCACCACCCAGGGATCCCCTGAATGCCCTTTCTTAGTACAAGTTTAAGTGTAACACATGTTAGCTCTACCTCAGAAACCTTCCAGAGTGCCCATCCTTTCAGCCTGTCATTGAAGTCCATCAGGGCTCTGGTTCCATTTTTTTTGTAAAGATTTTATTTATTTATTCATGAGAGACACAGAGAGGCAGAGACATAGGCAGAGGGAGAAGCAGGCTCCATGCAGGGAACTCGATATGGGACCCGATCCCGGGACTCAGGGATCATGCCCTGAGTCAAAGGCAGATGCTCAACTGCCAACCCACCCAGGCGTCCCTGGTTCTATTTATCCAGTTCCAAGTTCACTTTTTGCCTAAGCCTGTGTTTCTTTATCCATATAGTAGGGGTGTTATCACCAGGGGTGTTATCACCAACATCACCAGGCTATTGTTGGTAAAGAGAGTGGGATAGGGGCTCCAGCAGAGGATCCAGCATATACTTGTTACTTGGTTAATGTTAGCAGTCGTCACTTAGTATTGTCTCCTCTGCACATTCTCTACTCTAGCCAGAATGGCCTTTTCAGCATCCTTCGGATATGCCCTGAATAATCCCACTGCACAGGTCTGCACAAGCTCTTGTCCTGTTTCCTTTTGCCTCTCTGAATCCTTTCTCTCTGGTTCCCCAGCTTTGCTGCTTCCCCCTCCACCTCATCCAGACCCTACTGGATTCTTGCTTTGGCTTCTCTCTTGCTAAGCATTGGGGTCTGCTCTTGAGCTAGAGTAGAATGGGCTGCTTTGGAATGTGGTGCCCTCTCTGTACCTATCATTAGGGTAAAGGCTTAATGTTTGTGACTCCCATGGGTCAGGCATTAACTCTCTAGTTGATGGATAGTGGGAAGTTCTGGGGGTCCTGGTGGAAGGGTTGGGGCAGGTGGGGTGATAGCAGATCACTCAGGGATTGGGCAGCAGCTGGATACCAACCAATATGAGGGATGTTCACGTTTTACCAGTTAGGGTGGTTGCACTGGTATATACTGATACATATCAGCCCTATTGGAGGCACCAAGCCCAACATCAGTCAAGCTAGCCTCATTCCTTGGACATCCTTAGGACCCCTTCCTGGCTGGCCTCTGCTCCCCAGGCCCTGATTTCCTTTACGGCAGCCGGGTGGCCTGAGATGGCCAGTGCTGTCAGAGCTCTGCAAACCCCAGTGACATTAATTACAAGTCGGCTCAAGTGAAACAATGAGTGCACAGCAATTCCAGACAATTAATTAGGAGGCCCAGGAGAGGGGTGTCATGAGGGGAGCAATCATTCTCTAAATCACTCACCCATCCTTCTAAAGACCCAACCGTGCGGTCAGGTGTGGGCACATTGCAAGGGAAAAAAACGCTGCATCTTGGCCTCTTAGGGCTCCCACTCTGGTGGGAGGGAACAAGTGTTCAGCCCACACTGATGAGCTAAATGTGGCATCTGAGAGTCTAGGGGACTGAAAGGCAGGGAAGACCTGAGGATGTGATGGATGAGTAATGATTATAATATGAGCTGCTGTTTACTGACCACCTACTCTAGCCAGCTACTATTCCAACTATACACACTGTCTCATTCAATCCTCTAGATAGTCTTCATGAGGGAGACATGAGAAACTGAGGTTCACAGAGGTAAAGGACTTGTCCAGTAAAGTGATTAGTGGAACCAGGAAGCCACCGCAGGTTCACCTTCCTTCGAAGTCCTGGCTGGTCATCACCACCCACAAGCATCTATTCAGCAGCTAGGAGGGAACAGATCCTAATTCAGTCTCTGCCATCAATTCCCTTCCAAGCCTCTGTTTCTTATCTGGAAAATTGGGATCATGATACCTGCTTTTCAGGCTGTTGTAAACTCGAGAAATAATGCATGTAAAGTACCTGGCACATAGTAGCTAGTAGTATTATTCCAAGTGGAAGCTGTCCATTCTGGGAAACCTGAAAGGCATGGCAGTGTTTGGTTGTGGTGGGGTCACCCACCAGGGGAGGCCTGATAATGGAGAGGTCAGTAAGGAGCAGAGCACCAAGTCCCTTGAATTCCTAGGACTGAATGGTTTGGACTCAGTAGAGAGGACAGTGGGAGGTGCCAAAGGCTTTTAAACAGTGGAGTCCCTGCCAGATGCCAGACGCTGTGCTAAGTTCTGAGGATATGGACACTAGCTAGGTGTCCATGATCTTTATCTGTATGCTGGGGACTAGGAGCAATCCTACAAAGGCAAAATTACTTACAAAGAGGTGTCCCCAAAGGAAAAGCCCAGGAGACTCTGGGCCAGCATGGGGGCCTTGACCCAGCTGGGATCAGAGAAGGCCTCCCTAAAAAAGTGCCATGTAAGTTGAGTCCCAAGGAAGAGTGGGAGGCAGCAGAAGGAGCGTGGGGCAGCATCCAGAAGGAGCTGGGTGCATGGTGGGCCTGGAGGGAAGCCTGCGTGTGTGATGGGAACGAGGGGGTGGCCCATTGGGCTGTGGACAGGGCGGTGATCTGTGTTTGGAAAGCTTTCAGAGGCAGTATAGGGGACAGACCTGAGGGAGAGAGGCCTGAAGAGACTAGTACGCAGGCTGCGGCTGGATCTAAGGCAAGGGAAGTTTTTGGGGTGGAAGAAGGGAGGCTTCCGGGCGGAGGTGTCAGTAACAAAAAGCTGGAGGATTGGGGTGATCGATTTAGTCCTTGAGCTGTGGGGCGCTGGGACCCAGCCTATCCCACAAGCCAAGCCTTACGTGCTCTGTGTACATGTAGCACAAATACCCTACCCTCCTTCCGGTTGCCTCCAGAGCTCCTGCACGTGGCAGCTGCAGTTCTGGGCACAACGGAGCGCATACCGGCCCCGCCCCCGGCAGATGCTCTTTTGAGTTTATTTGCATAACGTCTCCGCCCCCTCTGAGCCCAGCTGCCTCGGGCCTTCAGCCCTTAGAGAGACCCTGCGCCCCCTGCCGGCCACAGAGGCCCCGCAGCCCAGCGTCGCCTCCTCTGCCCAGCGCCCCCTGCAGGCCCCCGAGCGCTGGCCGCCCAGAGCCCCCAAGTTCCAGAAGAGCAGCGCCTGGCCGGTACTTAGCCTGCAGCCTGCGGCGCCAGGTGTTCTAGTCCCTTCGCTATCCGGGTCCTGATAGCCTCCAGCATCTCCCCTGGCCCCCTGCACTCAGACACCCCAAATTCTCTGCGCCGACTCCGAGCTTCCCGCCGCGGGGCCTCTGTACGTGCAGGCTGCTCTGCCTGCAATGCCTTTCCCGCCTGGCGCGCCAAAGGAACTTGGTCAGGGCCCACTCCAATAGCCCCCTCTTCTGGGAAGCCTTCCCAGACACTCCTTCCTGAACATCCCCCCCCCCCCGCCCTCCCGCTTCTCCTCCGCGACCACCTCTCCGCCTCCCCCAGGAGCTGCGATCTTCCGCGTCGCTGGGGGCGGCTTGGGATGGAGAGGGGTGGGGGGCTCGGGCAGGCTCCTCTCACTCCCTGCCTCCCCCTCCCGCCCCTCAGGCCATTTACAAGATGGTTTCGTCCGTAATGAAGATGCCGGAGGACGAGTCGACCCCAGAAAAGAGGACCGAGAAGATCTTCCGCCAAATGGACACGAACAACGACGGTGAGGGGGCAGGGGCGGGGCGGGGCGGGCGCCACACCCCCTCGCTCTCCCGCGGCCTCCTCCCGCTCACTGCCCCCGTCGCCCCGCAGGCAAGCTGTCCCTGGAGGAGTTCATCCGCGGAGCCAAAAGCGACCCGTCCATCGTGCGTCTGCTGCAGTGCGACCCCAGCAGCGCCTCCCAGTTCTGAGCGAGAGGACCCAGGTTCCCCCTCCTCCCTGCCTTCACTGGCCCTCTCCCGGCTCTCAGCTTCCTCTCCCTTGTGTCTGTCCAGCCTGGGGGTCAGACTGGGCTCCCCCAGGGCCTGCATTCCGGGGTCTATGGAGAAGGGAACCCCGCGGTAGCTCCAATGCCCAAGCAAGCAAGCGGTCAGCACCTCCCGTCGAGGCAGTAGCTCCCTGAGGCCGTGGTTGAGACGCAGGCTCTGGCTGGGTCAGCCTTCTCTTACCATTCTCCTGCCCCCCCCCGCCCCCGCCCCTACCCGCAGCCTCAAGCTCCTCCCCGAGCCCCCACCCAGCTCTAGTAGCTCTCGGTTAGGGTGGAGGGGGAATCATGCCCAGGTGAGGAGGCTGTCTTCATTTGGAAAGAAGAGAAGGATTCCAGAGGTGTTTGAGGAAAAAGCTTCCTTGAGCAGCCCTTCCCTGCAGGAAGGCCTCAACTCTTCCTGTTCCGCTGCTTTTGTTGGGCCTGGAGGCCAGGATGCAAAGGAGAACCTCCCGGTTCCAGCCTCCCAGCTGTGGGTCCCATGAACCCCTACCTGCCTTTCAGCACTTGGATGAACACAGACCCACTGATCCTTCTGTGTAGTTTTCCTCTCTCAGACACACACATGCACACACACACACACACACACACACACACAGGCCCACGGATGGGCAGACACACCCAGAGCCCCACCCACAGCATCCTGTGTGGGAAAGAAGCACAGGCCCCCTGGCCAAGTCCCCGCCCCTGCTGCATGCATCCACGTGGAGCATCTGTTCTTTTTAATAACTTCAGAATAAAGTCTCATTTCAGCGCAGTGGGCTGGGTAGCTGAAGGAGGGTGTGGAAAGCCCCAGTGCGGTCCCTGAGTGACCAGTGAGCCTCTCGGGTCTGCTCCAGGAATCCTGGCCTGGTCACAGTGCAGACTTGGTTGTAGGGCCATAGTGGTCATGGGGCCTGGACCGGACATCAGCTCTCAGAGAGTCAGCGGCTCAGAACTGGTACAGCTCAGCAGGTCGCGGCCCTCCACAGGCTCTGGGCTCTCCTGCATCTGCAGAGGCACAAGAGGGTGCTGGGGTCTGAGTCTGCTCCTCCAGGACACCTAGGGGATGGGAGGAGGGGAGGGCTGCGAGGATCTCTGGGGCAAAGAGGCATCACTACTCCCTCCCATATAAAATACTCCTGCTTCTCCCTCAAGACTCATCCTGGCCCTTGGGGGAGCCACGTTTCAGCTGTGTGACTTAGCTGGGAGAACTGACCTCTCTAAGCCTCCAAGCTTCTCCCTTTTGTCCTGGGGGAAAAGCTTTTGCCCCACTTCTCACGGCAAGTGCCCCATACAGAGGAGTAGGGGAAGACCAGCCTAGCTCCCCAGCAAGTGCTCCCAGAAACATGGGGAGTCAGGGGCTGAAAGAGGGGATAGCAGGCCTTACCATGTGGAGGCTGCTTTTTCCCCACCACGGCCTCAGTTCCAGCAGCTGGTGGGTGAGCTGGGCACAGCGTACAGCAAACACACTCTCTGCCACGCAGAGAACTAGCGAAATGCCCCAGAGGCACAGGCTGGAGCTCTGTGGGGGCACAAGGCACAGGATGAGGGGGGGTCTCCAAGAACCCTTCCTGCCTTTGATGAGCACCCCCCACTCTCCTACCCCAGCCCCGCACTCCCTGCAATCCCAAGGCCTAAGCACTCACATAAATGCGTGTGGGGTCGAAGGGACAGTCAGGCACCAGTACTAGCAATTCGGGGCTTCCAAAAGTGCAGGCAGCCAGCAGTGCACGGCCCTGGGTGGCAAACGTCACAGCGATCGAGGCCAAGAGGCCCAGAGCACAGGTCAGAGACAGAAGGGCACAAGCCACACTCGAGCTAAACACCGTCCAGCGCTAGATGGGGAAGGAGAGATGGGTACTGGTCAATGGATGTCATGAAGTCGGCCTCGCTCCCTCCAGGCAGACCAGGCCCTTGGAGATGGCCACTGCCCCTGTGCTACCCCTACAGCCCCTCCCAGAAGGAGCCGCTTACCAGGGGGACACTGGGGAGGTAGCGTGACAACACGATGGCTGCAATGCCTGATGTGATGACCTGTGGGGGAAGGAGAGTGGGTAGGGTGTCAGGCCCACTCTTGGACAAAGGCTCCACTAAGGCTAACTCTAGCCCTCTCAAGCCCCAGCCCCTCAACCTGGCTTGGCTTTGGCCTCATTACTTCCATCTGCACAGAGGCACTGACTCCTCATGTCCAGCCCTGAAGACATGTTTCTAATACCCAGTAATTCCCTGCCTTCAACCTTCCATGACTCCCACTGCACAGAGTTGTGTATCTCAAACAGGCCCCTGTGTAACACAGGGCTGCAGGGTCATGTCACAGAGTATATATGACAAGCCTCCCTGGAGTGGAAAAGATTTTGGAAGAAACTAAGTAGCTCAACTGGCAAGGAACTAAAAACAAAATTGTTATTTTAACAAGTCAGAAAACTTTGTGGAGTAGGGGTGCCTGGGTGGCTCAGTTGGTTAAGCATTCAATTCCAGCTCAGCTCAGGTCTGGATCTCAAGGATGTGAGTTCAAGACCCCTGTTCAAGACTCCACACCTAGCATGGAGCCTACTTAAAGAAAAAAAGAAAAGAAAAAGAGAAAACTTTAGGAGTAGAATTCTATGGGCTGGGCACATGGGAGGCAGGTTGTCTGATGGGGATCCAGCAATGTCTTTAATTCACCAAGCAGACTCAAGTAAGTGCCTCAGCCTCTTGGGGCTAAGTCCTACTCTGAAGGCTGAGCTCACAGAGAGGACACTAGCTTTGGTGTCATACACAAGTCGTTTCAAATCCAGCTGGGCTTCTTTCTATCAGCAGGACATTGGGCTCGCCCTCTCGGTGTGGCTCATGTTGCTGGAAGCAATGAGGATTAGCTGAGAAAATGAGGGCAAAGCTGAAGGGGTGTGGCCCGGAGCCCATCCCCAGTGGATCTCCAAAACCGAAGCTTACTGCTTTCCCTGACTTCCTTGCAAGGCAGGTGAGAAGAGGGAACCCACTAACAACGCCAGGGGACACTACACACATCTGCACCTCCCAGCCCTGTCCCATTGACTGAGGCTCTCCTGCCAGCTGAGGCCTGAGATCTTCATTCAACGGCCAGCAGGCTGTTTGAGCTTCACTTTGTAGAGGACAGAATAGGCTTTAGAGACAGAAATAAGTCCCTCAGGCAGGAGGCGGCAGAGGTGGAACTCCAGAATTTGAGGTATGGATGTTGTCCAACAGCTGTCACCACCTCTGCTAACAGGTGGGAAAGAGCTTTATGACCTTGAGAATACCAGGCTCCTTCACTCATGTATTCCTCAAACAGGTATTGACATCCAGTCTTAACCATGGCCACCATTAATCGAGCACCTACCATAGACCAGGCCAGTGCTGAGTTCCTGACAAGTCGGTTTTTTCAGCATCTCCAGAAGAGATTTTAGCTAATCCCACCTCCACACCTTTGCCTCTGCCATTCTCTGTATCTGGAATGTCATCCCAGCTTCCCCTCCTACCTGCTGGCCCCAGCGTGCCTCCTATCTGGGTTATGGTAATTACAGCCTATCTTTGAACTCCTACTCATCCATCAATACCCAGCTCAGGGGCCTCCACCTCTGTGAACACTACTGGACCCTCCCAAGCTGAGCTGATGCTCCTTCCTTTCGTCCAGCACTGCTTGACTACTTCCTTATTGTAATAATAATCCTAGCTTGCAGTAGTCAGCACTACCCGTGTGCTAGATACTGGGACAAACACTTGATGTGGATGATCTCATTAGTACTCACCAGGACCCTCTGAGGTGGACACTTGTTACCTTCCCCATGTTATAGACAAGGCAGCTGAGGCAGACAGAGAGGTTGAGAGACATGAACAGTTGGTAAGGGGCAGAGCAGAGGGCGTGGGGATCTCTACGTGCCCACCCCGGGCTCGGGGTAGGGACTCATCAAAGACCTTTCAAGCCCCCTCCACTCGCTCTCGCCGGTCACCCTCCCAGCCTGGCCATACCACGATGGCAGAAGTGACAGAGATGATGTTGACCACGCAGTACTGCAGGGCCACAGCATCGTGCGGGGCAGTCACGTAGCGCAACACGGTGCCATGGAGTAGAGCGGCTGCAATGAAGCTCACGTGGCCCAGCACCACCAGCACCAGCCCTGTCTTCATCAGCACCTTTCGGAAGTCAGCCACATTCAGGCCACCTGTGGGGGACAGCCACGTCAGGGCTACGGGTAGGGCTCATCCTCTGGCAGAGGAGAAAACTGAGGCCCTGGTAGGAGTAAGGGATAGTGGGCTCTAAGTCTGTTTCTGTTTCTGGAAGACTTGGAGTTGGTAACTTGTCTTGAGCCTCGGTTTTCTCATTCGGAAAAGGGGTTCATAATGCCTTCATGAGAGTCTTTGGAACTCTAAGGCTGGAAAAGCACACAGGTGGTGCTTAATAAAGGGGAGTAAGTAGTCCTTAGTGCTCAAGGTCACGAGTGGCAGAGCGATGACTTGAACTTGAGTCTCTAGCTCTAGATCCATGATCTTTCTACTAAACTCCCCATTCACTGACTTATTCATTCAGGAGTTTATTACACAAATGTTCACTGAGTGTCTGCTCTGTGCCAGGCCCTGAGGTACCACGGCGAGTTTGACAGTGTCCAGGCCCCAGGATCCCCTAGTACATGGAGCAAGGATCAGGTCCTGCTCAGAATTCAGTTTGGTGTATAGAGCCAGGCACACAGTAGATAATCAACTCACAATTACTGAACTGATTTGGGATAAGAAACTCAGTCTCTGAGTATCCATTTCCTCATCTTTAAAATGGGAAGAATAACCCTTGTCTCCCAGTGGAGAAGGAGGGTCCCACGAGGACACAGATGGGAAGGTGGGGGGCATATCCTGGGGGTGTTGGGAAAAGCCAGCTCTTGGTGCAGGGGCACCGGACAGGGCCAGGGCCAGTGGGGGAGGCTGGAATCAAAAGAACATCAGAGACTTGTATGCAAATTCCCTCTGAGTGGCCAAGTGGCTTCCCAGCCCCTACCTGCACACCCCAGGAACAAGGAACCCTCCTCTTTGGACAGCCCAGGCTGCTCCATATATCCCTCTGGAATGTTCCCTGTGGGTCCTGGCTCTGCCCCCGAGGACACACACCATGCTAGCCCTTTGGCCCTCTCAGCCCCCTCATTCCAGCCAGCTCTGGGAGACTGGCCAGGCCCCTGAACCAAGCAACCCCTTTCTTTGTTTAGCTCTTTCCAGTGGGACCTGTGAGTCCCTTCTTAGACCTCAGTTTCCCCATCTGTGGCAGAGAGGGTTGGATCATATTTCATTTATGGGAGCCCTGTAGCTAAAAGAGATAAGAAAAAGAAAGAGAGGGATGGGGGATCCCTGGGTGGCTCAGCGGTTTAGCGCCTGCCTTCCGGCCAGGGCATGATCCTGGAGTCCCGGGATCGAGTCCCATGTCGAGCTCCTTGCATGGAGCCTGCTTCTCCCTCTGCCTGTGTCTCTGCCTCAAGCTCTCTCTCATGAAGAAATAAATAAAATCTTAAAAAGAGAGAGAGAGAGAGAGAGAGAGAGAGAGAGAGAGAGAGAAGGACGCCTGGGTAACTGCCTTTGGCTCAGGGCATGATCCTGGGATCCAGAATCAAGTCCCACATTGGGGTCCCTGAGGGGAGCCTGCTTCTCCCTCTGCCTCTCTCTCTCTCTCTCTCTCTTGTCTCTCATGAATAAATGAATAAATCTTAAAAAAAAGAGAGAGGATGGAAAGAAGGAGAGAAGGAAGGAAGGAAGGAAAGAAGGAATCACTAGGTTGGATGTTCTTGGGGGCCCTGTGCCAAGAGGCAGTTCCTAGGGAGCAGGGAGGATAGGGTCACTGTCACAGCCCTTCTGCGTGACCTTGCCATATGTAAAATGGGGAGGGGCTGGTCGAGGGGTCTCTGAGACCCCTGGAGCCTGCATGGTCCTCTGCAGCTGGACCAGGTCTAGGAGCAGAGGGCAGATAATGAGCTTGACAGGAACTGTGGAACTGGAATGACATTGTGAAGCTTAATTGCGGGCCAAACAGGAAGCTTCCTCCCAGGGACTTGACCCACCACCCCATCCACCCACCTACCTGGCAGCCCAGACACCATCTGGCTCAGGGTTGAGCTCATGAACAACAACAACGTCCTAGGACCAAGACTTGGTCAAACAGGAGGTGCTGTGCCAGAGCAGCGCTGTGCCCAGGCCGAGTCTCAGGGCCTGGCCTCTCTTAGTTTCTTAATTTTTTTTTTAAATTTATGATAGTTACAGAGAGAGAGAGAGGCAGAGACACAGGCAGAGGGAGAAGCAGGCTCCATGCACCGGGAGCCCGATGTGGGATTCGAACCCGGGTCTCCAGGATCGTGCCCTGGGCCAAAGGCAGGCGCCAAACCGCTGCGCCACCCAGGGATCCCCCTCTCTTAGTTTCTAAGTGACCGTTCTTAGAGCACTTAGCAATGTGGCTCACTTCACTCTTAGGAGCGAACTTCCTTCTCACAGTAGTCCTAGGAGGTGGGGCTACCATCCCCATTTTACAGATGAGGAAACTGAGGTTCCCAAGGTCTCTTGGCTCGAGAGTGGGGAGTCCTCAGGTCTGTCTGATACCCAAGGGCAGCATCCCCGTGCCCAGGAAGTGAGGGGAGAGGACGCATGGGTCCTACTGTGTCCCCGCCTGGTGGGCGGCGTGGAGCGGGGTGAAGGGGGAGCCTTTTGCAAGGCCTCCGGCTCAGAACCCCCCCCGCCCCCCCGCCCTGCCTCTCTCTCCCTCCCGCTCTCTCCAGCGACTCTCCTCCTCCCGCCTGGGAGGGGTCTCTCCTCCGTAAGAAAGGAAAGTAGGGGCGAGGGGCGGCGGCGCTACGCCACCCCCTCCCTCCACCTCCCCGCCGGGGAAACTGAGGCCGAGAGCGGAGAGCGGCGCGCGGCGCGGGAGGAGGCGGCGCGGACCCCGGGGCTCGGGGCTCGGGGCTCGGGGCTCGGGCGCCGGCGCTCGGCCCCGGGGGATCTGGGGCTGCGGGGGCCTCCGGGCCGTCCCGCCGCGGCTCACCCAGGCGCAGACACATCTCGGCTCCCGCGCGGGCTCCCCGCGGCCGCTTCAGCGGGGCTCCGGGTGCGGCGGCCGGCGGGGCCCCGCTCGCATCCCCGTCCGCAGCCCTCGCGCCGCCCGCGCCTCCGTCCCGCCCGCGCCCGGCCGGCCTCCCTTCCCGTCACCCCCCGGGCGGCCCAGCCCCGGGAGGGCCCCGGCGGCTCCTTTGCATCCCGGCCGGTCCGACCGGCTGGGCAGCCCTTCCCCGCCCGCCCGGCTGAGTCACGGCCCTGGCCCCACCCCCCGCCCGCCTCTCCCAGCCCTGCACCCCCTGCACCCCCTGCACCCCCCGCCCCCCCTGCAGCGGTCCCACTGCTGATGACCCCTGAGGCTCCGGGAGCCGCCGCACTCGGGGTGGGGACCGTGTGCCTGGCGGCTGCGGCTGCCGCGACCTCGTGGGCACCCGGACGGGGCAGCCCCAGGGTGAAGGTTGAGAATCCCCTTCTTTCTAGAGGATGCGAGGGGCAGCCGTGGTGGTGCAGGAGCACTGCTTGGGGAACCAGAGTCTGTCCCCGACTTCCTGCGTGACCTCAGGCAAATCACCTTCCCTCCCTGGACCTCGCTTAGTTTTACGGGGCAGAGAACTGGCCCTTCCATCCTCCGTGCCGAGCAAGCCGCGTTCTTTCTCTGTCTTGGGGGTCTCGGTTGTCTCACACTGGAAAAACAGGAATAATAACTGGTGTCCTTAAAGGCTGTGGTGAGACCAAAGGAGATACCAAAATGAGATAAGAACATTTGGAAAATTCGCTGGAGTACCTTCAAAGTGTAAACCTAGTGGGAACACACAGTGGGAGCTTTACGCATCCTGGCTGTTGGCTACTGAGCCGCTTTAATGAGACAGGATGGACCCCTGCCCTCCCTTGGTTTCTTCTCAGCGTCTGGACAGGGCCTCACCAAGAGCTCCCAGCAGGAAGTGGTGGAGTAAGTGGGAACCCAGACTCCCATTCAGGTCTTGGCACCCATGTCCCCCACTGTGGCCCTGCCATGGTTGCCTCCCCGGGCTTTCTCAGCAATCAGAGCAGGCCTCTGGGAGGCACTTGTGTGGCATCTGGGCAGCAGCGGTTCATGGTCTGCACCCCCATCCAACTTGTCAGTGGTCTTAAGGGCAGGGGCTGGCTTGGTACATGGAATGCCGGTGCCCACCAATGTGTGCCCTCCAGCATACAGAGCCTCTGGAGTCTAGAGGACGATAACACCAGGTGGGAGTGGAGCCATGTGAACCGGACTGGGAAGTCCCCTGGAGTGTAGGCAGACCACCACCATCAGGCAGGCTGGTCTGATAACCCCTCAGCAGATACATCTCCCAGTTAGCTTCTGTCTGTGGGGGGACCATGCATGGCAGGGACAGAGTGGGGAGAAAGACTTGCAGGGTGGAAGGCAAGATACTGACTTCATGACCATGAAGCCATTGGGCTCATGCCCTCCCAGGCTGGCATTTAATTTTTTATGTCCTTAGAGACCACCTTTTAGTATGGCAGGTGGGCAGTACTTACCCGCATCGTAATGGTCAAACACTTGTATTTGTGACTGAGCAATTCGATTTCTAGGTCTCTATCTTACACATCAAAAAGTGCAAAGATAGGGCAGCCCCGGTGGCGCAGCGGTTTGGTGCTGCCTGCAGCCTGGGGTGTGATCCTGGAGACCCAGGATTGAGTCCCACGTCGGGCTCCCTGCATGGAGCCTGCTTCTCCCTCTCCCTCTGCCTGTGTCTCTGCCTCTCTTTCTGAGTCTATGAATACATAAATAAAATCTTTTAAAAAATGCAAAGATAGGCATGCGTTTAATGATGGGTATGGGCAGGCTGTTCCTGATAGCAAGCAATAACACCAAAGTGGCAACCAAGGAGAGGGAAGGAAGGATTTTGCTTTTTGTTGTAGGTATGGCTATATGGTAGGAGTCTTACAAGGCATATTTATTCATGTCTTGCTTTTGTTACAAAGAGAGAAAGAAAAGGCCCCCTTACCACCGCCCTGCCCCACTCCATTCCGACACCAACTTTCTGCTGACAAAGGCCACCTCCCAGGGGCTGCCAGGGAGAGTACATGTGGTCACTGCAAAGCTGATGCCAAATCTCAGGTGTGCCTGTGGCTTGTCCCTCAGTGTCAGGCGGTTGGTTACCTTGACACTGAGCCCATCTGGGCCTTCTGGGAATTAGGCCGGGGACCCAGACCTCTTAAATGTCTCTGCCTTCGATGCATAGGTGAGGATTCTCTCTTTTTATCCTTGGAACAATACTGAGTTCATGGTTATTACCCTGTTTTAAAGATGAGGACATTGAAGCCCAGACAGGGAAAAGGCTTCTCAAAGATCACACAGCATTTATCAGTGGTAGGGCTGAGCCTTGTGTACCTGTGAAGCTGCTCCGGAGTGTGTGGGGGTGGGGCGTGGGGAGGGGAGCCCCAGCCTCCAGGGATGGGCTTGCTCTCTGAGATCTCTGAGGAGGGTGAACTGCCCATCTGTTTCTCACCAGTTTCCCAGCCATGGCCCAACCTTAGCTCCCTGAAGTTATTTCCATTTTTCTTCCTTATTGCCAAGTGGCCAAAGTCCAAGCTGCCGGGTGTTCCTTGCCTCTACCCCACCCTTCTGCATACTGGCCTAGGCTTCTGGGAAGAAACCTAAGCCAAACTCTGATCCCTTATCCTCTACCAACTCACTGTGACATTCTGGCAGCTGCCTGCCATTCCCTGGGCCTCAGTGTCCCCATCTGTCAAATGGAGATGATGATTGACTTCCTTGGCTCCCAGGTCTCTGAGGTGTAAATGACTTGTGAGATATGAGAGTGGGTGGAAACCTAACCAGGGAGGGGCACCTGGGTGGCTCAGTTATTGAGCGTCTGTCTGCCTTTGGCTCAGGTTGTCATTCGGGGTCCTGGGATGGAGTCCCACATCAGGCTCCCTATAGGGAGCCTGCTTCTCCCTCTGCTGATGATGTCTCTGCCTCTCTCTGTGTCTCTCATGAATAAATAAATAAAATCTTAAAAAAAAAAAACACCTGCCCAGGGAAATAAAAACAGTAATTCCCCTTCTTCCTGGAACATTTAACAGCCAGGTGTGGCCCAGCACATCAGCTGAAGGCTGTGGCTTCCCAGGTCACGGCCTTCCATTGGGCTGCTCAGCTGGAGAAGCGGTTTGGGCCCCTTGAGTCCCTGTGCAATTCCTCCTCACCTTAAAAATCTCCTTCCCCCTAATTATTCGAACACTTCCCCCATGTAAACTCAATAGTCATGCACAAACCATGTTCTATTTTAGGTGTGTATATACATGTGCACAAACCTACCCTAGGTGTGTATATGTGTGTGCATAAAACGAAAAACCTACTGATCATGCTCCTCTGAGAGGAGGAGGTACTCAGAGGGGACTCAGGCAAGTTTACTATGACAAATTCTAGATGCCGTGAACGGAGGAGTTTGTTATTTGTATTTTTTCCTTATCTTTTACATTTCTACAAAAAAATATTGTAGGAAATGGGGGGAATAACAGGAAAGCGTAAAGAAGAAATCAGAATGACCCATGATCCTCCTAGCCCTCGTGGACACCTGTGGAGGGTTTTCTCCTGTGTACATACATTTTCTTCTTCTCTGAGACTCCTGCCACCTGGCTCTACTCTGCCCCCACTTCTCATCACCCTGACTTCTTGCCCTCCTGGTTACCCCCCTCCTTCCAGCAAGGACTTGGGTTTCAGAATTTCCATTGGGTGATCTGTCCTCATGTCCTGCTCCTGCATGTAAATAACCCTCCCACACCCTTCCCTGACCTGCATCATGACCTTGCCTCTCAGAGGCCATGCCTTGAATAGGCCCCTAGAACCCCAGCCTCAAGGGTCCCACAAGGGCCTCTCCTGCAACATGCCTGTCTTCTAACTTCCCTGCCTCATCCCCTGACTTCACAGAGGTTGGTGGCCCATTCTATTTCCTTCTTCACTCAACCCCTCCTGGCCACTTGTCCAGGGAGCCTACACCCAAAGGCTGAGCAACTGAAGGTCGGTGGCAGAATGACTGGGGTGAGGAATGCAAAGCTGGGACTTGATTTGTGGAGGAGAGGAGACATTTGAGATATGTGATTGGTGCACACATCCACATTTGAAAGCACTATTCCAGGGCAGCCTGGGTGGCTCAGTGGTTTAGCACCTGCCTTCGGCCCAGGGCGTGATCCTGGAGACCCAGGATCAAGTCCCACATTGGGATCCCTGCATGGAGCCTGCTTCTCCCTCTGCCTGTGTCTCTGCCTCTCTCTCTCTCTCTCTCTCTCTCTCTGTGTGTGTGTGTGTGTGTGTCTCTCCCGAAAAAAATAAATAAAATCTTAAAGAAAAAATAAAAGAAAAGCCCTATTCCAGAGTTCCGGGGAGGAGGGGGGAACTCAGTTGGTTAAGCTCTTCCTTCAGCTCAGGTCATGATCTCAGGGTCCTGGGGTGGAGCCCCCATCTGGCTCCTTGCTCAGTGGGGAATCTGTTTCTCCCCCTTGTGCTCTCTCTCTCACTAATCTCTGTCTCTCTCAAATAAATAAATAAAGTCTTTAAAAAGAAAGAAAAGCACCATTCCCAACCCACTCCCTTGCTTTCTTCTCCTCCTGCTTCTCATGAACCCCACTCCCTCCCTCATCCTCCCCCTTTCAGCTAACCCTCCCCACCAGCCCAGAAACACACCCGAGTCTCTTCTGTCCTAAGACCCCATGCTCTTCCCTTGACTGCCTTTCGTTTTCTAGTTACTTCTTTTTCATGTCCTTTTCCTTCCCCTCCAAACTTCTGGAATGAATTATCCTTCTATGCTGCCTCCATCTTCTCAACTACCCCTGCTCCTCATCCACAGCAATGCGGTTCAGCCTTCTGCTGGAAGAGCCCAGTCCAGGTCACTAGCACCTTCTAACTCAGCCCAACCCAAAGGAAGCGGTTCAGCACACGGCTGGTCATTATTAGCCGCTCCCCCTGCACTCAGAGAGCAGCACACTGGTTGTTCCTGGCTGGTCCTTCTGTCTTCTTTGTGCCCTTCATTTTTCTTTATTTTATTTTAATTCCAGTAGAGTTAACATACAGTGTTCTATTAGTTTCAGATGTACTATATAATGATTCAACAATTCTATACATTACTCAGTGCTCATCAAGGTAAGCATATGCTTAATTCCTCACTTATTTCACCCATCTCACCATTTACCTCCTCCTCTGGCAACCACTAGTTTGTTCTCTAAAGCTGTGAGTCTGTTTTTTGGTTTGTCTTTTTTTCTTTGCTTTGTCTCTTAAATTCCACATATGAGTGACATCACACTTTATTCGGTCTTTCTCTGACTGGCTTATTTCGCTTGACATTATACTCTCTAGATCCATCCATGCTGTTATGAATGGTCCTTTGGGGACTTTTTGTGATCTGCTTTACCTTTATTTATTTTTTAAGATCGATTTATTTATTTATTTATTTATTTATTTATTTATTTATTTATGAGAGGGAGAGATTGAAAGGGAGCACACAAGGGAAGGGGCAGAGGGAGAGGGAGAGAGAATCCCAATCAGACTCCTCACTGAACACAGACCCTCATATAGGGCTGGATCTTATGACCCCGAGATTATGACCTGAGCTGAAATCAAGACAGGGACGCTTAACCAACTGAACCACCCAGGCACCTCCTGCTCTACCTTTAAATATTGACAGTCCTTTGCATCCTTTCTGCTTCCTTTATTGTTGCCAGTGGTTGGTTCATGTCATCCCTTGGCTCTCCTTTTATGTGATGGTCCTCAAATCACCATTGCCAGGCTACACTCCCCTGAGCATTAGACTCAAATATTCAGTCACCTGACCTTTCTGCCAAGTGCCCCAGTCATCTCAAGCTGGACATGTATCAACTGATCATTTCCCCTTTTCTCTCAAACTGCTCCTTGTGTATTTTCTGTCTCAGTTGGTGGCATCACCAAGCCAAAACCCTGGGAGTCATTCTTTATACTTTCCTCTCTTTCTACGCAGGATCAATCATCAAGTACCGCTGAGTTACATCATAAATGATTCTGTAACAAGTACTTTCCTCTTTGTCCCTGCTACTATTGCCCTTGTTCATGTAGCATCTCTTACCTACCAATTGTTTTTCCACACACTACTGAGTTTATCATCCTAAAGTATAAATCAGATTATGTCACTCTTCTGCTTAAAATCAGTAACATAAAGAAAATTTGAGAGACATACATAAATGGAAAGCCATTCTGGTTTCGCGGATTGTAAAACTTAATATTGTTAGGATGGCAATTCTCCCCAGCTGATCTGTAGATTCACTGCAATCCCTATCAATCCAAGCTTCCCCTGCCCTTCTTCTACAGAAGTTAACAAGATGATCCTAAAATTCATATGGAAATGCAAAGGATCCAAAATAGCCAAAACAATCTTGAAAAAGCAGTCAGTTGGGAGACTCATACTTTCCAACTTCAAAATATACTGCAAAGCCGCAGTAATCAAGACATGATACTGGGCATTTGAGAGTAAAAACATATAAGGAAACCAGAAATAAACCAGAAATAAAAACATAGGTCAATTAGGTTTTGACAAGGGTACCAAGGTGATTTAAAGAAGAAACAGTGGGGTACATGGATGGCTCAGTTGGTTAAGCACCCAACTCTCTTTTTTTTAATTTTACTTATTTATTTTTGAGACACACACAGAGAGGCAGAGACACAGGCAGAGGGAGAAGTAGGCTCCATAAGGAGCCCGATGTGGGACTCAATCCCAGGACTCCGGGATCATGCCCTGAGCCAAAGACAGACACCCAATGGCTGAGCCACCCAAGCGTCCCAAACACCCAACTCTTGATCTCAGCTCAGGTCTTGATCTCAGGGTGATGAGTTTAAGTCCTGCATTGGGCTCCACGCTGTGTGTGGAGCTTACTTAAAAAAAAAAAAAATCAGTGCTTCCCAAAGTGTGATCTACAAACCCCTGAGCATCCCCAAGAGCTTTCCCAAGGCTCTGTGAAGTCAAAACTATTTTTATAATAATAGTAAGATGTTATTTTGTCTTTTGATGGTGGGAAAGTGATGGTGGGTAGTATAGCTGGCTCCTTACAGTAAAGTGAAGCTCAGCTCCAGGCTACATTTGCAGTCATTGTATTCCTCCTTGCCCTGTTTACACAGCAAAGGAAATAAATAAAGCAGTTTCACTTAAGACCGACTTGATAAAGGGTGCCTGGGTGGCTCAGTCAGTTAAGCGTCTGCCATTGGCTCAGGTCATGCCCAGGGAGGGTCCTGGGGTTGAACCCTGCATCAGGCTCCCTGCTCAGCCAGGAGCCTGCTTCTCCCTCTCCCTCTGCTCCTCCCTCTGCTTGTGCTTGCTCTCTCCCAAATAAATAAAATCTTTAAAAAAAAAAAAAAAAGATTGAGGGCAGCCCGGGTGGCTCAGCGGTTTAGCGCCGCCTTCAGCCCAGGGCGTGATCCCGGAGCATGGAGCCTGCTTCTCCTTCTGCCTGTGTCTCTGCCTCTCTCTGTGTCTCTCATGAATAAATAAATAAAATCTTAAAAAAAAAAAAAGATTGACTTGATAAAACAGTAAAAATTATTAACTTTATTAAGTCTCTACCCTGAGTGTACTTTTAAATATTTTGACAGAGTGAGAAAAATTCTGCTAGATACCTAAGTACCATGGTTGTCTCAGGAAAAGTACTTGTATTGTTTGAGTTGCAAGCAGAACTAGCTGCTAGTTGCAAGTTCAACACCATCTCTACCCGAAAAAAGGATTGATAGACCATGATTATGTAAACATACATATATATTTTGTTCTCTAAAATAAGTGAGCTGATCGATTCAGGGGGGAAATTGACAATATTTGCTGCTAATAATACAATTTCAGTTTCTGAGTGAAAATTCGCCTTTTGAAATATTTGTATCCACCACTATGGGCTTAATAGCTTCCCAATACTTAAAGACCCTCTGATAAGATCAATGGTGACACTAATGAACATGATTTTTAAAATATTGTATAATAACATGTGTGACATTTGGAAGACCTGTATAGTATAGCTCAGTGAACCCTATGTTCCAAGTGTTACAAAATCACTCGTGGGTAAAAGATACATTCAAAATGCGAGATAGACCAATGAATTTTAATTAATGAAACATTGACTGATTTCAGATTCCACGCTGAAACTAAATTTTACAAAACTGTCATTTGTTAAGTTTTGGTGTAGTATCAAAGAGGAATATCCACATACTTATCTGGATGGGGAAAACCATGATCATGAAGATGATTTTCCCAGGGCGAGGCCCATCCATGGCACTCTGGGTGTGCTACCCTTTTTGATTACTCCAAATGTAGGAGACTTGGCTGCGTAATTTATGGTAATAGGGAACTGTGTTCAGTCTCTTCCCTTATAAACAAAAGAGGAGGGAGCATCTGAGTGGCTAGGTGGTGAGTGTCTGCCTTTGGCTCAGGGTGTGATCTCAGGGTCCTGGGAACAAGTCCCATAATGGGCTCCCTAGAGGGAGCCTGCTTCTCCCTCTGCCTATGTCTCTGCCTCTCTATCTCTCATGAATAAATAAATAAAATCTTTTTTTTTTAAAGAGGAATATCTACAGTTATCTGAAAAATCTTTTAAAAATAATCCTTTTTCCATTTTTATATCTCTATGAGTTTGAATTTTATTCATATACTTCAACTAAAACAACATAGCTCAACAGATTGAATAAAGAAGCAGATATGGGAATCTAGCTGCCTTTTATTAAGCCAGGTATTTAAAGAGACTTGCAAAACTGTCAAACAATGTCATTCTTTCCACTGATTTTTTTGATTTGAAAAATGTAGTTATTTTTCATTAAAAAGGGTGTTATTTTTTAAAAAAAGGATGTTATTTATGTTAGGATTAGTGAGTTTATTGTTTTTATTTTTTAAAATATTTTATTTATTTATTTGACACAGAGGGAGGGAGAGAGAGAGTGAGAGATGGTCAGAGAGAGAGCATAAGCAGGCAGAGCAGCAGGTAGAGGGAGAGGGAAAAGCAGACTCCCCACTAGGCAGGGAGCCCAACAGGGGGTTTTATCCCAGGACCTGAGATCATGACCTGAGCCAAATGCAGATGCTTAATGACTCAGCCACCCAGGCACCCCTATTATTGTTATTTTTAAATAAATAAATGTATTTTTAACTCTTAATTTTACTTTATTTATGTATGTATGTTGTTAAAGATTTTATTTATTTATTCATGAGACACACACAAACACAGACACAGAGACACAGGCTGAGGGAGAAGCAGGCTCCATGTCGGGAGCCCGATGTGGGACTCGATCCCGGGACTCCAGGATCATGCCCTGGGCCAAAGGCGGCGCTAAACCGCTGAGCCACCCGGGCTGCCCTAAACTCTTAATTTTAATTTAAATATGGCAAATATCAGGGGGATCCCTGGGTGGCTCAGCAGTTTAGCGCCTGCCTTTGGCCCAAGGCATGATCCTGGAGTCCCGGGATCGAGTCCCACATCGGGCTCTCGGCATGGAGCCTGCTTCTCCCTCCTCCTGTGTCTCTGCCTCTCTCTCTCTCTCTCTCTCTCTCTCTCTCTCATAAATAAATAAATCTTAAAAAAATAAAAAATAAATAAATATGGCAAATATCAGTAATTTACCCCATATAAACAAAAGCTCTTTCAGGCCTTCAATTTTTCAGAATGTAAAGGGATCTTGAGGCCAAAAAGTTTGGAAATCACTACTATAGATAAACAATGAAGTTAATCAGCCCCATACGTAATACTTTAGTGCACTGGTAAAGGTTACACCAGATAATTATAAATAAACACGCCTATTTGGAAGAGGAGAGGAGACAAAACAGCACCCAATGGCCTGTGGTGTGTGTTGTACCCAACGAGGTCGAGAACAGGAAGGATTCCTTGCCTTGGTAGAGGGAAGCCAGGCTGTCTACACTCCCATGTTGGTGGGTCTCCCCGATTTGTTGTTACTGTGTGGCCATATCTTAGGGGATTTTGAAGATGTCCCTTAGTGTTGGTGGAACCAAAACATGGCCTTGGGGGTTGATCAATTGCAGGCTTCCTTGTGCTAGGATTTGGGTTTCTCTGGCAAAACCACTCCCTTAGAAGAGAAGTTTCTGACCACTCCTATTTGGATAACTCTATGAGTTAAGAACCAAGGGGCAGCCCAGGTGGCTCAGTGATTTAGCGCCGCTTTCAGCCCAGGGCCTGATCTTGGAGACCCAGGATCGAGTCCCACATCTGGCTCCCTGTGTGGAACCTGCTTCTCCCTCTGCCTGTCTCTCTCTCTCTCTCTCTCTCTCTCTCTCTCTCTCTCTCATGAATAAATAAATAAAAATCTTAAAAAAAAAACAGTCAGAAGAATTGTGAATTATGGTCTCTGAATCTAGACCAGAGGAGTCTGTCAGCAAGTGGACCTCCAGTCCCTTGGCCCATCATCACCTCTGCCTTGGAGCAATCCTGACCACTAGGCTGCATCCCAGTGGAAGGTTCTTTACGTCCCGTTAGTGGGGACAGGCAGGAAGGGCTTGGGTGGGGCTGTGTTTCCTACCTTCCTGCCTTTGTTCTACTCACTTTAGCTTTGGCTTTTTCGATCCTGCAAGGCGTGTGACCTGCAAAGCACGCGATGGTCAGACTGTGCTGGTTGCAGGCAGGCTGTCTTGGCAAAGCCATAGGCACACAAGATCGGGGGCCAGGCTGCCTGGGTGCAAGTTATAGCTCTCGCCTGTCTAGCTTCGTGACCTTGGGCAAATTGTTCTGTGCCTCAGCTCCCCTAATGTAAAATGGGGAATGACAGTGCTACCTATTTCTTCGTGTTATTGTGAAGATTCAGTGATTTCGTATGTGTAAAGGTCTTAGACCCGGCACAGGATGGGTGCCGCGGAAATATGAACTTTTATTATTCATTATTCTGTCTGCAAAATTTGTGTCTTTGACTGCAAACTAAAGGCTTGGGAAATTATTTTTTTTAAAGATTTTATTTATTTATTCATGACAGACACACAGAGAGGGAGAGAGAGAGGCAGAGACACAGGCAGAGGGAGAAGCAGGCTCCGTGCAGGGAGCCCGATGTGGGACTTGATCCCAGGTCTCCAGGATCCGCGCTAAACCGCCGAGCCACCCGGGCTGCCCAGGCTTGGGAAATTAGCCAACACATACAACCTCCTGACAGATTCCTACTGAGTCCCCGAGCTCCCACCTGTGTTAGGTACCTGGTCTCAGGAGCTGCGCTGCAGGGCATGCTGCCCTCCCTGCCTAGGATGAGGAAAACCTCACTGCCTGTACCCCACCTCAACCCTGCCAGTCCTGTGGGCTAGGGATCATCACCAGCAACACCCCACTTCCATCACTTACAGGTGACAGAGGCCTAACAGAAATGGCCATTGGATAAGGGAAAATAATTTGTTGAATTATGGTACGTGAATGTTCAGGGGCTTCATGCATGGTTAGATCCTGGCCCTAAAACAATGTCATCTGATATCTTCACATGGTGACCCTGTCTCTTGCCTTCCATTTCTCAGTTCTGCCTTGCTCTGCATGGTTTCAGTATCAGGAAGTCTGTCCCCATAGTGGAATATCCACACTTCCATCTTCCCAGCTGAGGAGCCTCAGGAGAAAGCAGCCTCCACTCCTCTGAAATTCCAGCAAAGTTTGGGGATGCCTTGAATTTCTCCAGCTCTGGCTGTGTTTTTTAGTCTTGTAATAGCCCCAAGTGACATCACGTGTGGCTTCAAAGGACTGGGACCACACAGCCAGGGAAGGGAGGAGGACTGGCATTTATTTATCAGCCATCCATTCTGTCTGTAAGCATCATAATCTTCTCAGAGTGAAGATTAGCCCCTTTGGGAAGGACACTAAATCTCCTGGTCTTCATGTCCCTCCAAGCTGAGAGAGGAAGGGCCTGGTCCCCTTCTTGTGTCCACAGCCAACCCCTCTGCCTGCGCTTGATTTCGTCTCTCTGACATCCAGACGCAGAGCACTATGAAATGGCTTCCTCTCTTTTTCTATTTTCTCCTGAGTCTCCAACGTTTCATGAGCCTCTCCTACTAAAAAAAAAAAAAAAAAAAAAAAAAAAAATTTGGGCAGCCCTGGTGGCCCAGCGGTTTAGCGCCACCTTCAGCCCAGGGCGCAATCCTGGAGACCAGTGATCAAGTCCCACGTAGGGCTCCCTGCATGGAGCCTGCTTCTCCCTCTGCCTGTGTCTCTGCCTCTCTCTCTGTGTGTGTCTCTCATGAATAAATAAATAAAATCTTAAAAAACAACCAGATCTCCTTTTCTTAAGAGAGAATTGTCTACCATCTCTACCTCCTCCCCATCCACTCACACCTCAACTAAATGAAATCCGTTCCAGTTCTCAGCCAGCTTGACCTATCCCACATGTCAGTGAACCATGCTTTCCTTCTTGAACTTCTTACCCCACTTGGCCTCCAGTGTTCTGTTCCTTCCTGACTCCCTTTTCCCTCCCTTTCTGTTGCTCCTTTTGCTGCTCTCATTAGTGAACGGTTTATGAGAAGAGAAAGCCAGTCCTCCTCTCATTCACATCCGGTGCCATTTTTTCCCTTGATGATTTCCCATCTGCACGGCCTGGGTCTGTCTCTGGGTGTCAGCTCCTATGGTCAAGCATAGAGTCTGAGCAGAGCTCCTGCCCATGTATAGTGAGCAACGAATGAATTTCCTCAAAGGCAGGGGCCTCAGGAATGGCCAAGCGGTATGTGCATCTAGAACTCTATCCCAAGCCAGTGGCAAAGGCAGAGCCACAGGAGTAAAGTGAAGCAGCATCTCCAGTGCAGGCTAAGAGGAGGGACAGTTATCCTGCCCTTGTTGGATCCCTTTAATGACAGTTCAGGCCTCAGAATTCAACCCCTCAGAGCCATTAGACTCCTCTAGTCTCCCCACACTCAGGAAGCCCCACTTTCATGTTGCATGTGACCCAGTCTTGTCAGAGTGGAAAGAGCATAAGGTCTGCAATTCCAGATCTGGGGTTATGGGCTGCTTTTTTTTTTTTTAATCTGTCTGTGATCCCCAGAAAACCAGTGGCCATGTTTGGGTATATTCACGAGCTTCTTCAGGTGGGCAAGGAAGAGCCGCGCTCAGGTGACTTTCAGTAATGGGAGTGAGTGGAAAGGACAGAGATGAAGTAAGGTTGGCAGGGGAAGCTGTGTCAGCAGCCCACCTAAATCCCTGGAGAACAGGAACAGTGATGTGGTGATGTGTTCTATCAGGTTCTATCTTCTAGCACTTATGTCTCCATACCAGGCATCTCACACAGGTGATTGGCCTCTATCACATCTAGGTTGTTCACAGCGGCATTTGGCTTGGGCCCAAAGCCTGTGTCCAATCAGCCACAGGAAGGTTGGAAGGGCTGGGCTCATTGGATTTACGTGACCTAGATCACAGAT